TATTAGTAAGTGTTTTTAGGGTATTTGATAGTCGAACACTTTGACTGCTATACTATATTATAAGAGTATTAGAAGAAGAGCTGCAGAGTGAACTAATCTGCTTGAAGCATCCATTGTGGATAACTGAAAGCTTCTTATAGGGTATTTAATAGTCGACCACTTAAGATGCACATCATATGGCTGTCAGATGAGGACTTGGAATATGAGCTTCATGGACAATTCAAATAACAATTAGTTACAGGGTATCTACTTGGCTACTACTTGCATCAGGGTATATATGCTTCAAAGCAACTGCTATTTACAGGGCATCTGCGCGTTCAGCACTTTCATTGGCAGTCTTTCATTTTTGCTGAGTGCTGCGATTTCAGGTACGGCCTGGGAACATGCATTACTTCTAATTGAATAGAGCTGTTAAACATGAGGCGTAATTAGACTGCATTTTTGGTGAGTGTATATGTGTGAATGTGTACGTGTGTGTGTGTGTGAGTGTGTTTATTCAGAGAAACAAAAGCAGCAATTGGGTCAGAGTTACTGCAGTTGCATGTGCACGGGCACAGTTAACTTCTTGTTATTATGCTGTAAAAGAACTCGGCTCGACGGCCAATTCATATATTTGACTGGCACTTGGCATAGGCACAGGCACAGTACGAGGACAGGAGCGACAGACGACAGACGGCGGACGGCGGACGGCGGACAACGGACGACGGCGAGGACGAGCCTAAGCCTGTGCCTGAACCATAGGACTAGGACTCAGGTCGCAGGTCTCGCTTGGCTGCTGCGTTGTTTTTTGTGCAATTTCCATGAGTGGCACTCGGGCAAAATATACTATTTATTTCGCTACACTCAGCGCGCTCCTCCAACACAGTGGCCCAAATGAACCACATTCCATTTTGACTGATGTTGGCCAACTTTTTGCGTATGAAAATAAAACATAGCCCGCCCCCGCACACACAGAGACACCTGAACACACACACACACACAGACACACGCTCGAAAACTGCGACAGAGATGAGAGGCAGCTGTGGTATTGTTGTTGTTGTTGTTGCTGCTGTTGCACTTCTACACTTTGTTGCCGCTACGTAAAAGCTCGTTGAGTGAAAAACGTCGAGTTAAGTATGTGTGTTTTAAAAAGCGATATGATGCAGAGACACACCCATACTAGCTCACACACAAACACACACACACACCATCACACACATACACTAAGTTCGCAGTTTGTAGCTCAGAACCGGCAGTTTCTCGAGTGGCACTCACCTTGCACACTACGAGAGCTCAGCCCCGGACGACAGAAGGACATTTTTTTTTTAGTTGCTACACTTGGCGAAAAAACCCAGCTCATTACAGTTAGTATTTGCTCGGCTTTGCGTTTGCTTCATAAATTTCTAATTGAGGCTTCAAGTTTACGTGAGGAAAATAGTTGCGATGAAAGTGAATATATTATGGAGACAAACGAGGGTTAACTGAAGCATTGTAAACGCGTCTTTTACTTTTTGAGGACAAGATAATAATAATTATAAATATAAATCTTTGATCAACTAATTCATAATTTGAAATTTTAATATTAATATTAATTGTTGAGTTTGGAAAATTCTTTGAATAAATATATTCTAGCTTTAAAATTGATTATATGATTATATGTTTATTTATTTTTATTTTTTTTTAATATTTATTCCAAGTTCAAAATTTAGTTTTTCGCTAAGTGTAGTTGCTGCGAATATGCGGACTGGGTAGCGAAGGCATTTTGCCTAGCCCAAAAGTATGCTGCTAACATGCCACTATGCCAGCTACCTGCCTGCTCTATCTCGCTCTCTATGCAAATGTATATTTGTATATATATGTCTCTGTGTGTATGTGTGTGTGTATATTAGTCTGTATTTGGTTAGTTTTCGTATTCGTTTACGTTTTCGTGTCGTACTCGCTGCTTTTGTATGTTGTTTTTAGTTTTAATGAAATGTAAATGTTTAGTTATACATACACACACACACACACATCAACACACACACACACACACATCAAGCAGAGCGCGGACAGAGCAGAGGTGATAGAGAGTGTGTGAATGTGTAGCCCGAATTATGGCTGTAGTAGCTATAGCTATAGCTATAGCTATAGCTAGCTGGCTAGCCAGCTCGTCGAAATTTATGTTAAGCTGCTTTTCCCTCGAGTTATAATTTTCAGCAGTGAATGCAAATCAGCGCTTGGACCGAAAAAAATGTACGAAAACGCATCAAAAATAATGTTGAAATGAACCAAGCGCTTTATGTATGTAAAACCCACAATTTCACAAGCTTATTTTTGTTGCCATATTTTGCCCTTTTTATACCTAGTTAGCAAAAATATGCAGCATCAGTTATTATGTTGCAGGTATTGCAGGGTTTCCGGGAGAATCTACTTTTTTGCAATTACTTAGATGAAAATTAGAAAAATAATATGCCTAAAAAAATGTAAACATGTTCATTATTTCAACATGTTGACTTAAAAGCTAAAAATGTTTTAAAATTTTGTTTGAAAAAATAAAAATTAAACTATAAAAATATTTTATGTTAGTTTTATAATTCTCAGAGTTTTACTTTGCTTATATACAAAATTTAGTGATGCAATTTTATTGATATTTTTGATTTTTATAACTGTTGATTCTTAATTTAAAACGAAAACTTTCTTGATTTATATTCCCAGGTAAGACTGTTTTCTTTTTGCACAAGTCAGTCAATCAATTAGGTTATGCAACAGCTAGTTTATATATAGACGGTGGACCAGCTTCATAGATCTCAAAGCCTTCTGAGAGCAGTCAGTCAGTTAGTCAATCAGTTAGCCATGTCAGCAATAGTTATATATAGATAAGAGTGGATGCGCCGGTTGCTTTAAATCGAATCTCTTTCGCCCGCCGCCTGCTGTTGTCTGCCAACTCTTGCCATATTCATTTCTAATTTATATCAGCCGGAAAATGCAGGTTCCTTTTTGGACAGGTTTCGAATTACATTTGGTTTATTGTGCTGCGCTGCAGTTTCAATTTCAATAAGCCAAAGTGCGTTTTGTGGTCAGCGCTGCATATTTATTAAAAATGTTTGATATTAAAAGCACACAAGCACACGAACCCAGAGACAAGCAGGCAAATAAACAATCAAACCGAGCCAGCAAACAGTCAGCCAAACGCAAACAAACATGGCACAATTTGTAAACACTGACAAAGTGGCTGAAGGACTGCAATGCCAAAAGGATTGCGAGGGAGGGGGGGGGGGGGGGGGGGGGGGGGGGGGGGGTGGATGCAGCGCGGCTTAACACGCTTGTCAACGCCGGCCAAATGACCCCGCCGAGAGAGTTAGCATAGGGGGTGGGGCGGGGCGGTATGGTGCCAGTGTGCGACAAAATGGCATTTCCTTTTGGCTCTTTGGCTATTTGACTCCTCGTAAGCGTCGCTTGTTCGCATTTTCCGCCGGATTTTGTTTACAAGCCACGCCGCAGTGCCACGAAAACAAATTGAAAATGCGCAGCAGCGGCAGCAGCAGCCGTGGCAACAACACGGCCCACGACAATAACAGTAGCTGTTGCAGCGGCAGCACGAGCGGTAAATGGTGGCAACTCTGGTTGCCATTGTTGCCATTTGTTTGCTTTTGTGCGGCATTGTTGTCAAATTTATTAAGTTACTCATACGCCACGTCCGACAGCCCACGCTGCTACGGCGGCCACAAACAACTGACAAGCGGAACATCTCTTACTCTCTCCCCCATCTCTCTCTCTCTCTCACTCTTTGTGTGCAGGCGCCACGAAGTACTCTCTAGCGGCTCCACATGTTTGGCATATCAAATGTTGTTTTCGTTTGTCAAAATGACAAACCCATATGAGAGGCACACAAAAAAATATATATACCTATATATCCAAGGGGCAGGCGAGAGGAGACACCTCTTCGTCCGTGCACACATTGGTTATAGTCCGTAAGTATATGACCAGTAGATCACATAATTGTGGTTAGATAATATACATAGTTGTTTCATCAGTGATTATTCTCAAATGGATGAAAGGCAAAGAAATGTAGAAAAAATTGAAGGTGCTTGGGTATGAGAGATTAAATTGTGTAAAAGTGCCAAAATATGTTGTAGATAAAAGAGCATAGCGAAGACCAACCTAATGCTAGTTTGGCTAGTTCTTTGCTTACACTCTGAGAAAAGACTCGGAGATCAACCGATTGCTTCGGCTCTCTAACGACTTCATTTGCAGTCGGCTCGCTCTGGTTGTTTCCCACCCAATTGGTTCAGTTAAATGAAAGTGAAAAGCCTGCTCTGTATATGTGTATGTATTGGTGTGTATGCATGCCTCGTATTTCTCCCTAAACGATCTTGATTATAAGCGCCTCACACGAAGAGTTCAAAGCAAGGCGCTCAGCAGAAAATCAAACGAAATGAATCGAGAGGAAATGAATATACATTTTTCGATTGATTCCGCGAACAGAGCATAAATAAGCAGAGTTTGAATAAGTCATCGATCTAATTGGAGTGCTTATTTAGCATTTCTATTGCCTCTACATCGTCATCTTCAACTACATCTACATTTTCAATCAATTATACACACTTAACACTTAAGTCAACAGTCCGATTTAAAATATCTTGACCCCCTTTTCGATCACTAAATTAGCTCAAATTGGAAACCTTTTCAAAATCTCTGTTAACGTTTTTTGCTCAGCAGCAATTCAAAGCTTCATTCAATTGGCATTGGCTGGTAATAAGCTAAAATTGATTTTCGATTTTTTCGTTTTTCGTTTTCAGTTTATTTTTTGCTCCACTGTGTGTTATGTAACATGTGAACTGCTGCTGCTGCTGTTGCTGCAAGCACTTGCCACTTGTCGTGCCAGTGGACAAAACTTGGGGTTTGGGATTTTGGCGATAGCTGGCTCCGTAAGTAGATCCCATTTGGCAGTCCAGAGGCTTGGCTGCCGTTTTGGGTCGCTCACTGTCATTTTTGTCGGTTGTTTGGCTGCTAAAGTTCCTGCTATAGCTGTTGTTGTTGTCGTTGTTGTTGCTGTGCCGTCAATAAACAGCAGACAGTTGGCAAGTGGTACAGCTCGATCTGCTCATGTTTGCGCTTGTTTGCTGCCCACCCACACACACACACACACACACACACATACACTCCTACTCGTACCCAGCCATCCGTATTTGTGTCTCTGCGATTGCCAGCAAGTCGCGCCGAGTGTCGAATTCCTCGTCGTCGCCATTGGCCATAAATAATCGCCTAAATATGCTGGCCAGCTGCCCAGCGGCCAAAATCAGTCTTAATATGGTCTCCAGTGTGAGCTGTTGCTATGCCTGCGAGCAAAGTGTGCTGCTGTGTATATATGTATGTATATATGTATATGTATATATGCATGTGTGTGGGTGTGTACAGATCTCTGTGTATATTTCTTGGTATATGTGTTACTTACCGTTTGTTTTTGTGATGTTGGGATTTATGTTTGGCCAAGTTTTTTATGTTGAACTTAAAGATGTTCTAAGTACGTTTTGTGCACTTTGTGCCAGTTTTTTTTCTCGTTCTTCACTCACTTCCTTCACAGTCGCCACGCACCCGCAACAACTTCTGTTGCTGTTGTTGTTGTTGTTGTCGAAACACTTGAAGTTTTGCTGGGTGGAAGAAGCCGCTCGCTGCAGGACATTCAACTTGCCATGTTCCTCTCGTCTCTGTTATTGTTGTTCTTGGCTACTGTTTTGTTTGTGTTTTATGGTCATTTCAAATGTGCTACGTTGTTTATGCTGCTCGCCCACTGTATGCGTGTGTGTGCAAGTGTGTTAGTGTGCGTGTGTAAGTACTTAGTGTTAATAAAGTTTTATAAATATTCTCTTTGACACTTTTAGCACGAAATAAAACTGACAAATAAATCAGCTTAATCATTGCACTTACTGTGTGCGCTTTCTAATAGAAATTTTCCGGGTTCCTAAATTATTAGCTACGTAGAGTTGTTTGAGGATATTTTTAGTACCACATATGAACTGTGACTGTTTTAATCCGGAAAACATAAGCACGTTTAGCTTTTGATGGATGGCCATCAGTAAAACAAGCTGCAAAGCTGCTTAGAATGAGACTAAAGCTAAAATCTCTTGGCTGCAACTAAAAACTATTTGAAAGAATTTCATTTGCTCGCCGCCGAGTGAATGTGAACGTATTTTTGGACTGCCAAACCAAATTGGATTAGATGTCAGTTAGTTGCTTATGGAGTCAACCACTCGACCGATCTGTGGGCAATTTGCTACAGCCGAGCGCTTTTATTACAGCTCGGTCTGTTAGCAATATATACATACATATTTGGGCTATTGGCCAAGCGAAACGTTTGATAACTAAAAACGCGTTTCGCTGGCCAAGCACTCATCAAATCCAATGAAAAAATCAAAAATTTGCCCGAAAGCCCAATTGGCGCTGCATTCTAACCGGCTGACTGGCTCGCTGCCTGCCTGCTAGCCTGGCACGCCCCCACTCCGTTGCCCACATCCACAATGCTAGGCAAATACAATTTTGAACGCATCACAACACGCAAACACAATCACTGATGGCCAACAGGATCGGGCCGCTATATAGAGGGTCAGACCTTTGGCCGCCCGCAACTGCAACTGTAAAATAGAGTGTCCATCTCTCACTCTTCCTCTCTCTCTCTCACACTCTTCCTCTCTTACTCTCTCACACTCTTTGTGTGCAAATGTCCGTCCTGGCATTGATATGCACGTAGTATTGCTTACACTTGCCTTGTTTTGCTGGCACTGTTCACAACCACGCGAAGAGGTCACACTTAATTTCCGCTTGAAATTCGCACAATACACAGCTCAACAGCAACAGCTACCACAACTAAGAATATTGCCGATGGAGTTTCAGCGACTGGCGAATGCACTACATGCAGCTTAAGGCATAGACAAGAATCTCTACATACTTCACTTAGATCTTGGGTTATGGGACTCTACAAAGGCTTCAAAATTTTCTGATGATTCTCATTAATCCACCTGAGTCAATTGCTGCTTCTCTAAGTCTCTACTTCAATGCAAAGCCATCAGCTTTAATTGATAGAAAGCAGCTGCAAGCCCAGCTAATAAGCTAATGAGCGGCCCAGGGGAAAACAGTAGAGAAAATGCTAGCAATAATAGCGACAACAGCAAGGGCAACAACAACTTCAACTACAACATCTACAGACTCAGCTGTAGCCTAGGCTGCATTGAAGTACGAAGCCAATATACTGCCTTTCACTCGACTCATAGTGTATAACAATAGCAGTAGCTGCATTCAGCATAGCATACTTTTTGGGGCAGCCGCTGACGATGTTGCCTCTGCCTGCGATGCTGCTGCCGCTGCTGCCTGTCATTGTTGACGCTGGCGACCTCTGCCTGGGCTGCCGCTGTCAGTCGCGCTCAACTTTCAACTTCCGCTTTTCATTTACACACACTCGCACACACACACACACCCACACACTCGGACGGGCGATAGGCAGTTTTTCGGCGTGCATTGTGCTGCTTGTTGTTGTTTGCAACATCTGTTGATTATTTTGGGGCGTTGCTTGTTTTTTGCACTCACAGCAATGCAAGTGTGCTAGTGCATGGGCGGGCGTGTGTGTGTGTGTGTCCGTGTGTGTGGTTTGTTTATTGCACTCACACACAAATACACACACACACAAAGCGCACCGGGCACAAGGTGGCCAAAGTTTTTTGTGTTTGGCCATGTGCCGCGCACGCTTCTTCTTTTTATATCTAGAACCTTTTGCATCCGAGAGTCACTCATCACACACACACACACACACATACATAGAGAGTGCGAGAAACATGTCAGCGGCAAAATTGATTATGAAATGATTTATTGGCCTCAAAAAATGCTTCAATATTGATTAAAGTTGCTGCCTCTCACTGCGTTTCCCTTCTAGTTCGTTTTTTGGCTGCCCATTCGTTCGTTTTTCTCCCGCTATTTCCTGCTTTTGCAGCACGCGGCGTATGCGAAATATTTGCTCACTTTTGCTGACCGTTTTTGCATTGGCCTTTATTGTCGCTCCGCTGAGCATTTAAATGCATTTTTGTTGGTCTACCAAATATCCGTTGCATTGTTTTTGACAATATCCCCAGTTATTTATTGACAACCGAAAGCAGCCAAGCATTCGGAGACAGCAAAAAATATACAGACATTTATTTGTTTTTGCATTTAGAAAAAATGTATAATAAAAAAAAAATAACATTCACAAATAACTGTGCTAAAAACAACTTTCCAATTTGTGTATCATTGATATGATGGCCCAATTGGCTAACTCGAATTATATACATACAAGTTGACCATGGCAACAATAAGCAGACTTTGTGTAACGACATGAGAGCTTCAAGTGACGGAGTGGGAGAGAGAGGGATATAGAGAGAAAGAGAAGGTAAGCTATGGAGAGTGAGAGGTGGATAGACGGATTGAGCATAAAGTCAAATTAACTTTGCGTTATGCCCAAACGATAAGTTTGCTTTTTTTTAAATATTTATTTTACCCGCTAGAAATGAGAATTTAGTGGATAATGAACTTATGCTTAGCAGAGCTTATGTAAATCTCTCTATATATATTTGATGATTGTTCAACTTTTTTTTTATAAATCTTCAGACCTAAAGACATAAAATGGTAATATAAATATTCGGTATAAAAAAACAATTTACTTAACAATCATATTTTACCGTCAACATGATACATAATACATATTAAAAATTCTTCAACCTAAAATTCAGGGTATCATCTAGTCAGTCATTTGCATCTACATCATTTGCATAGTTGTTTTTTGTGTATTACATTTGCATACTCTTTTTATTTCGGAGCAGCCTGTCAGCAGTTGTCAACACCGAATGCTGCTCTGATCTATATCTATATCGTTTTTTTTTTTTGAGTCGGGGCGTTGTGTGAAAAGTTATGTGAACTGTATTTGGAACGTTAAATCATTCATGTTGATTTAATTATTTTATGTTGTTGACGCAGGCATTTCTTGTTATTGTGCTTTTATTTTGCTTTTCATTTGATTTATTTATTTTGATTTACAAAGTTCGCAGCTCGCAACTTAATGTTATTATTTCGAACGTTTTATGCAGCTCCGATTTAAGTGACATCATCAATCAACCAATCAATCACGTCAACCCGAACTGCATTGAAAAGAAACATAATACCGTACAGCGGCCATTATGTAAGAGCATCTATAGAAAAAATTATATTCATTTATAAATTTACCAGAGCAAACAACATTAATAAATAAAACATGTTTATAATCTGCTTTAATTAAGGTAAAACATGTGCCTAGAAGCGCCTGAATAAATAGACTACTTAATCACCATTCAATGACAAAAAAAGTTAAAAGCTTACATTTAAAATGAAAAAAACAAAACAAAAAAAAACAAAAAGAAAATAAAACAGCATAAGATTTGCTCTGAAAATGGAAAAATAAAATATAAATATATATGAAATTTCACACATGATAAAACTTTAATGCTGAATCAATTTAGAGAACAAACCATGAAATGTCATCAATCATGCAAATCGCTCAACTTTTTCTAGGACACAATACGCAAAGCATTACAATTCAATTTGATTTTTTATTGAGAAATTCGTACCAATCTACATATATATTATTGTTGACATAATTTATAAAGCGTGAAGTAAAATGATTGTATTGAGTTACTAGCAACAAATATTGAAGGTGAATAGCAAAGTAAAGTTTGCCTAGCAACATAGAGTAGATAGAGCCTGAATATGTTAAATGGAATTGAGCATTTAAATATATATATTTTTTGTAAACATTTTTGGAAGGCTAATAAGAGATTTGATTAGTTTAGAGGGAATGTCACAATGGTTTACTACCGATACTTAGCCATTGTATTTTTCGAGCAACTAGATTTACATTTTATTTCAATTCCATCTACTGCCATAATTAACCATTTATTAATGAAACATAAACATAAAATATATCTAAAAATATTGCAATCCCACAAATTATGTTAAGCATGTCAACAATAATAAAAAATGTGTGCAAGATTATATATAAATCATTTCAACCTAAATGAGCTTATAACTATTTCGCTGCTCTATTTCGTCGATTTTTTCGGCTTTGATTTCACTACGAATAAATCATGTTATTTTCATTTTATTTTTCCAATCCACTCTCTCATTTGTGCTTCGCTTTAGTAATGGCGCATAGAAAGTTTTTGGTTCGGCAAATTGAAATTCAATATGCCATGGCGAAAAAAAAAAAACAAGAACTTTCAAATGCTTTTGCCCAAAAATTGTGCCGGCTGATTAAAAGTGCAGGGCGTGAAATGCAGTGCACAATAAATTTAAACGATTTCGCTCATGCAAAACCAAATGGCACTCGCGCTTTGCGCTTTGCCCCATTGTTGTTATTGTCGAAGTAGTAGTAGTTGTTGTTGTTGTTGTAGTTGTTGCACGGATAGTTTGGCAGGCGATGGCTGGGAGCGCTTTTTAGGATTTATTATTATGATTTGAGAGTGCAGAAACCACTTGAGGGCGACTCGTGCATTTCGCTTCCATAATTGGCACAATCAGCCAAAGGCCGTAGCGATAAAATCTCGAGACGCGCTCACAGTTTGCACCGAAGCCCTAAAAATGCGATGCCACTTCAGACTACTTCGCGTTTTCCCATTTATTTATCGCAGTCGCCGCACCGTCGTCCTTCTGCCTCTGGCCTCTCCCATGCCCAAAACTTTGGTCGAAGCCATAAAGAGGCGCTTCAACTTGAAGTTCTATTGCAACGCTGCTCCACGGCTGCATCGTGTTGATTCTGCCAACGTTTTAATTAAATGACAGCCAGAGCCGGAGAGCTGGAGAGCCGG